ACATGTCGATGCAAGCCTGAGTGGTTTAGGCACCGTGTTGAATCAGGAATACACAGACGGACTGAGACCTGTCGCCTATGCCAGCCGTAAACTGAGTGCTGCGGAACACCACTATCCCATTCATCAGTTGGAATTCCTGGCACTCAAGTGGGCTGTTGTGGATAAATTCCACGATTACTTGTACGGAGCAAAGTTCACAGTTAGAACGGATAACAATCCCCTCACCTATGTTCTGACAAGCGCTAAGCTTAGTGCTACTGGGCATCGATGGCTGGCTGCCTTAGCCACTTATGACTTTAGCCTTCAGTACAAGCCAGGGCATCACGACATCGATGTGGATGTACTGTCGCGCTATCCCTCTCCCACTGACCTGTCGCACGAATGGGTGGACCAACCAAGCTCTGGAGTAAGGGCCATCTGTCGGCTTGCCGATACTCCGATGAATCCTGCAGTAGACTGGTGGATCAGTTAGGTGCTACTCCAGACGTCATTCCCTCTGTGTATGTTTGTCCAGTACAGCTGGAAATGGGACACAAGGAGCAGTTGTCAAACTCTGACTTGAGACTAGCGCAAGAGCAAGACCCCATCATTGGACGGGTGAAGCAGGAAGTGGAGAAAGGGCATATACTTACCACTCCAAAGAGTCCTAACCCCTTTGAGACTCTCTTATGGCAACAGGGTACAAAATTGAACATTCTACAAAATCTTTTGTACCGAATTACAAAAAGCACATGCGGGAGGGAGAGACAGCAACTAGTTTTACCAGAAAAGTACCGGGCCCAGGTGCTACATTCACTGCATGATGAATCAGGTCACCTTGGAATTGAGAGAACCACAGAACTTTGCAAGGATCGTTTTTACTGGCCACGCATGAACAAAGACGTGGAACAGTATGTGAAGGAATGTGGACGATGTATCGCTAGGAAGACTTTACCTCAAAGATCTCCTTACTTGAATCACATCACGAGCAGTGGCCCACTCGATCTGGTCTGCATCGATTTCCTGTCTATTGAACCTGACTCGAAGGGAATCTCCAACGTTCTGGTCGTCATAGATCATAGAGAAGCTTGACAAGGACATCCGTCATAGAATTCTGGGAATTCGCAAGTCCCGGACCTTGCCGTACCACCCTCAAGGAGACCCACAGCCCGAGCGTTTCAATCGAACTCTTCTTTCCATGCTGGGTACCCTGGATCCTGCCAGGAAGAGCAGGTGGAGCCAAAGCATCAGTCAGTTGGTGCATGCGTACAACTGTACCAAAAATGAAGCAACTGGTTACTCACCTTATTATCTGTTGTTCGGGAGAGAGGCGCGACTTCCAGTGGACATATGCTTCGGGACTTCAGCGGATGGGGAGAGTGGGATGAAACATCAGCAGTATGTCGAGAGAATGAAAAAAGAGCTGCAGCATGTCTACAAGTTAGCCTCTGAGAGTTCCCTGAAGACACAGCAAAGGAACAAGAGACTGTATGACAGTAAAGTGAAACATCAGACTTTGGAGAAAAGAGATCGGGTGCTTATAAAGAAACTGGCCATCACAGGAAAGCACAAGTTACAGGATCGCTGGAATTCCTTACCCTACCTTGTCATGGAGAAGCTGCCGAACTTGCCTGTGTATAGGGTAAAACCAGAGACTGGCACAGGGAGTGTCAGGACGTTGCACGGAGATCATCTGTTACCTATTGGAGATAGAGTGAGGATGTACTTACCTGATGAGAGGATGGATGTCCAGCGTCCAGTGGTAACCAGGGCAAGAGCTGTGGAGAGAACACAAAGAGAGCAATCAGCACAAGATCGTTGTGATTCAATTGATCACTCTGATAGTGATGACAGTAGTGAGTGTGAGTATGTTCCAGTTCCACAAGGGAGACCTGTCAGGCAGATGCACACCCCCACATTAAACACAGAGAACGTACAGGTCCATAAAAGCCATGAAAGGGTTCCTAATCAACTGGAAGTGATAGGAGATCTATTTGAGTGTGAAGCAGAAAGCATCTCTCTGCCAACCCCTGATCGAAATGAGGATCTGGAATCAGAAGAGGGAGACAGGCAATTCATGAATGCCCCTAAAGAAGCAGAAAATGAAAGAGTTGACTTTTGTCCAAGGAGAGAAGTAAAACCAGTGAAAAAGAGTTATGATGAACTGGGGCAATCTACGGACAGACCCTTAACCCTGGTATATAGGGGTATGGTGGTGCAAGTTGAAGATTTCCCAAGAAAAAAGAATGTTTGCCAAACATTGTGGTGCCACCCTGTGGCTCAGTGTCCCCAATGTTATAGTTTGAGTGCAAATCAAACATCTAGGGCCATAATACTGAGGTAGTGGGCTAGTCTCATGGGGACATGAGTCATTAAGCAGGGGGAGAGTGTAACCCAGTGCGGGTTATTATTAAGCACATTAATACCTTTTCCCAGGTAATGTGATATTTACAAGGTTTTATGAGTCAGATAGTATTCTAACAGTCTGTGTGCTCAGTTAGTGCACTCAGGTACTGTCCCTTTAAGAGTTACGGTGAACTATAAAGTTTGTTTGTGATGCACTTGCTCAAAACGTGTTGTGACCCAGCATGTTTGTTCCTTCTTTCATGATTTGTTATTTTTTGACTTATTCCCACCCCTGTGAATATAGGGGAAATTCTGATTGGACAGAGGGTTCGATGGGGAAGGGAGGGGAGAAACCTGGAGAGAGAGGAGCGATAACCTCTGATGAAGAAAAAAAAAAAAAAGATTTTAGGTGTAATAAGTGTTGTGTAGGCTTACGTTGAATTTTGTGTTTTATACTCTGTACAAGAGTTAACTTAAGATTTTTATTAATTTTTTTGTTCTCCGAGCATGCTTTTAAAGACAGCACGAAGCTTCGTTAATTGTTATTACGGAGAGAAAAAACCCCCCAGCCGTCTAACTGGTTATTGACTGCCTATTATCATCTAAGTTGAGTTTATTTAGAGGACGAGATTGAGTTGGCCGCATTCTAAATCCTCACTCTCATCGTGGGTGAGAATCGCGCTGCCATTCTGCCGACTGCCGGGGAGAACCGAGAAACTCTGGACGAGGCAGCACGCGAAATCCTCGTTGTCACCGGGGAGCTGTCGTCGTGGGTGAGACTCGCGCCGCCATCCTGCTGACTGCCTGAGAGACTACAGGACGATCTGCCGCTTCCAAGGAGAGGATCACGGATTTCAGCTGCCTTTAAAAGGGGGTTCAGGTGATCTGTTTGATTGGTTTTGGCTCATTTGAGTGAAGAGGCCATTTGCTGTTTTTCTAGGCCCCCACACTCCCCAGCAACGTTACAGGCCTGCAACAGGGTGGGTTGTGTGACTGTGTGTGTGGGCCCACATATATATATTGACGGTTATTATCTTTTATGTTCTACTTACATGCAGTAAGTGAAGTTTGGGGTTTCATACTGTTGTTCGGTGTTATTGAAACAACCTAAGTGTATTAGGGGTTTTGAATTTTCCTCATCTCTTTCATATTGTGTCTGCTGTTATTTTTGTTGCTATTTGAGTACCAACAGACATTTGGGTAATTCCTTCCAGTCTTTATTGAGACATACATTCATTTATTTCAAATTTTTCACTGTTGGTTATAAATAAATCAAATTGTTAACTTTTTCATACTTACCTTTTGTGTTGATTAAGGTTATTCTCTGTCCCATGCTGTATAGGAATATTACTGTAGGAGTATAAACCTAGTTAATCTGGGTTACAGTAGCCAAATAGGGTAATAGGAGGAATATTAATATATAGTCGGGAGACACACTGTCAGAACCCGGTGCTCCGCCCTATTAAAGGTTAAGGGTAGGGGGCGCTACACAACATTCATTAATTGTGAAGCAACAGTGCGCAGTGAATTGTTTGAAAATAGCGATGTTATATAGGCTGGTTAAGTGGTCTTCACTCTCCCCCAATGAAACAAGATGAAATATTTTTACAAATTATTTTATTTATTTTAACTCGAAATGTTTCATTTCATCATAAATCGCCACGCATATCTGATCTGATCCACGCATAACTCCAAATCTAGATAATGTATTTGCTGAGGAACTGTGGATGTGCAAAATGTCAAACACGCGCAATAATACCATGATGCTAAAATGATTTGATTCTTTGAAACGCTGTTATCACTGCTTTTTTAACATGACAGACAGATTTCAGAAGAATAAAATGTGAAAAGTTTATCTTAATGGTACTGCGATTAAACAAACAACAACAACAAAAAACATAATCATGATGTGCAGTTAGCCTTAAACCGCTGCATTTTATGAAAGAGTCCTGCTGTATTATTTACGCTATAAATGTAGCTCGTTATCGCCTTAAAAGTCGTTTCCAAAACGTATTCAACAAAACTGTTGCATTCTCGATTCAACAAATATTATGCTGTTTGGTTTGTTTACAAATCATTTTCATACAACTCACTCCACAAATAATAGGCGTATGTAAATGTGACAGGGAGGTGCGGCCAGTGTAGTGAGAACATGAGGGAAAAGTTCCACCCTCACTACGGAAAACAAAAGTTTGAGTTAAAACATGGTCGCGACGTGCATTCAGCTGCAGCACCCATATGGATTAATTCTCGCTGTACAAGAGATCTGAGAGTGGATATAATATAGCCCACTGGACAATGTACTGGAAAAATGAACAAACCACATCGAAGGAAAGTCCAAGCAAGAACACTGTAAGTGTCACATGAATTGCGTATACATTTGAAATGTGTTATTGTGCATTTTATTTTTATTTTCTGTCATTTTAATTCTTGTTTTATTCAAAAAATCCTTATGTGATCTCCCCTCTCATGTTTAGGGCGGCTACATATTTTGGAAGATTTTCATTAATAAAATTAATTAAAATATATTAAACTTCATGAACAAATGTTGCAGGCAAACTGTGCTTGTTTTCTGTGCAACGGTGCATCATTCACTGAACTCTTATTTATTCCTGTTTATCAGCGAGAACTGAAACAGCCTCCACTTCTGAATTACGGCACCATCCTCAGCTGCGTCTCAGGCAACGCCTGTGTGCAATTAGCCTAATATAAATTAAGTAATCGGGGTATTGTTTTCTTCTGTCACGATGACAGTTGTGTTTTTTTCTAAAGAGAGTTTGTAAATAGTTTAAAAGGGTTTAGAGAGCGAGAGAGAGGGTAAAACCGTAACTTTGGAAAGCGACATAAGGGGACATAAACCCTTGAAGGCGACAGGAAAGCAGTTAATATTTACCTGAGGAGTTTCAGCGCATGAAATGAAGAGGATGACGCTTTGCGTTAAAAAGAGCCCGTGTTTCTGCATATCTCCTTGTTCGCTTGTAGAGGTTGTCTTGGTAAAAAGGCAAGTGGCTGTAATGGGGTCGCTCGGCCGGTTAAAAGGCGGCAGCGCTATCGGGCAGGTTGTACAGTAGTTGAGGATTACATACTTTCTATTTTTGTAGTTTAGTCAAAGGCTTCTGAAAGGCCATATTATTCAGTTAGGTCACTGACCTTATGTTCCTGAACGACGAGGCTAAGTTCTCGTCATTAGATTAGTTTTGTTAAGTTGTTTATGTACGTTTAAAATATGCATGAACTTTGATTTTCAGGATAAAACCCAAGAGCTGTTTGAAAAGGTATGGTGTTCGTCTTTGTCGCCCGGCTCTTCACCTCATGCCATGACAGAGAAAGCCATCTGTACCAGCTGTGGCACTGAGATCGTTGACAAATATCTGCTGAAGGTGCGCATTAAATATTTTACATGTTTATAACAACGCTTTAAGACGAGTGTTGTAAATTGTCGTTCCGCTCTGGGTTTCCCGAATATGCAATGACAGGTAAATCTTATCTCTCTTTTTCTAATGTTCGAAACACAAAACAGAAAATGTTGCTTTTACACTTCAGGTGAACGACATGTGCTGGCACGTGAGATGCTTGTCGTGCAGCGTGTGCCAAACGTCTCTGGGCAGACACATCAGCTGTTATATAAAAGAAGAGATATTCTGTAAATTGGACTACTTCAGGTAAAGAGAATATTTTTCAAGCAATTTATGAAACATAAATCGACGACCATCAATAACTTCTGCTCAGTCAGTGTGTGTTTTAAAGAGTTGCAAAATAATTGTTTGCAGCATCTCTAAACATTTCTAGCATTTCAATGCCTCTGCATTTTCTTATGAAGTGACGTAAAATGTTGTAGTTTTCTACAGAAACACTGCATGCTTTCCCTCATTAAATGTTAGATGGACAATAGTTGACCAATGTTTTCATTCCTTCTCTGTGGTTTTTCCTGGAGTGCCGTGTCTCAACCAAAAAACTGCTGTTAGCCTCACTAAAAAGAAATGCCACAAAAGCTTGTCTAACTTTTTAAAGATTGAAGTTCTTATCAGAGACTTGTTTTTTGCAGGAAGTACGGAACACGTTGCGCTCACTGTGGTAGGAACATCCATTCAAACAACTGGGTCCGCAGAGCAAAAGGAAACACCTACCACCTGGCTTGTTTTGCTTGCTTCTCCTGCAAGAGACAGCTGACCACAGGAGAAGAGTTTGCCCTGTTGGATGAGAGGGTTGTGTGTCGTGTGCACTACGACTGCATGTTGGAGAACCTGAAACGTGCCATGGAGAATGGTTAGATTTAGCAAATAAGTTGTCGTCATTCAAATGGTTATCTAGTGAATCTTTTCAATTGTTTAAAACGTTAACTCCATTCATTTAGCTCCTATGGAACCAGAGCTTGAGTTTAATTCTGCTCTTGTTGATGGACTTTGTGGTTTGCTGTAGGAAAAGGAGTGAATGTGGAGGGAGCTGTTCCCTCAGAGCAGGAAGTAAATCAGCCTAAACCAGCCAAGAGGGCACGGACAAGTTTTACAGCTGACCAGCTACAGGTTAATATCGAAATTCTCATCTTAAAATTCTTTTTTTTTGTTTTTTTTGGTTTTGTTCTGGTGTTGGCTGCTTAATGTTAGACTTTTATTTTATTTTGTATTTTTTATGTGTATTAAGGTAATGCAAGCCCGGTTTGCTCAGGACAACAATTCAGATGCCCAGACTTTACAAAAGTTGTCAGAAAGAACTGATCTAAGCCGGAGGGTTATTCAGGTATTATATATATATATATTGTGCTGTGTATGCACCGCTAACAATTACTTGAGTGTTTTAGCATGTTTTTAAAAATTATTTTAAATTTGTTTTATTGTAACTTTTCGTGTACAATACTATATTAGTGTCCTATACTAGTTACTATACTACTACTACTACTAGTACTATACTAGTAATTCTAGCGTACTGTCAATACTTCATCGATCTGCTGCTCAGGTTTGGCTCCAGAACTGCCGAGCTCGTCATTAGAAGCATGTTAGCCCAAATCACTCTTCAGCCGCCCCAGTGTCATCTCTGCAGTCCACTCGGCTTTCTCCTCCTCTAATAGATGAACTTCAGTACACTGCTTTTGCCCCTGTAGACACCCCTATGCTGACTGTGCTACACTCCTATATGGATGGTATGTTATGTGGAATATCACTATTCTATGTATGTATGTGCACATTTTTTAAATGCATTAATGTAATAATAGCTAAATCAAGCCTAAAGTAATTATTATTATTATTATTATTGTTATTATTATTATTATTATTATAAATTATATATATTTTTTTTAATATTATACATTTTAAATTAGTGCATATGCTGAGCAGCTCTTCGTGACTTTTCGTCTTTGTCTCCCACTTCATTGGTGCTGCAGCCTCTCTTGCCCCACTCAATGACACAGCTGCCCATCAGCCATGCCCAAGGTGTCCACTGCTGCCACATGGTCAGGTCAGAGTTCAGAGGACAGCATGAGGAAATATAGATTTTTCTACTGGCTATTGAACAAGACCAATGCTACTTTATCTTTCATGGGCACTTATTGAAGGATATTAAAAAGTCCTAAATGTGAAAAGCCTGAAGTTTTTGATGTGTATATGTATGTGTGTGTGTGTGGTGGAATAAATGGCATTTAGTTTTTCTTGTATGTGATTGAGCACTTTTTTAAAATAAATCTACCATGCATTTCTTAGTTTCTGGTTTAGTCAATACTTTTTTTTTTTTTTTTTTTTTTTTTGGGGGGAAAGAAATTATAGAAATTAATACTTTTATTTAGCAAGGATGCTTAAAATTGATCAAAAGTGATGATAAAGGCATTTATAATGTTACAAAAGATTTCTATTTCTTTTTTTTTTTTTTTTTTTTTTTGAGGGTGAACGAAAGCCAATAAAATCTGATTTGTCTCTAGCATTGATCAAATGAAAGCTTTTGTTTGGCTTATTTTATTTCATACTGATTCTGCTTGAACTTTGAGTTGAATCGTCAGAGGTTTTATTTGTTGTGGTTATAGACATGGCCTGAAACACTTGTAGAAAGTTTGCTGTGCTTCTAGGAACCTTATAGGAAAAATATTTATCATGTTTGAGCAAACTAAACTGTTTTATTAAATGCTATTTAAATATAATTACAAACATTGTGAATCATGAAAGAACTTGATCAATTCAAACCTAAATATTCAAGATACACCCATAATTGTACATCTGTATAATGCTAAACAAATTTGATTTCTGTCGCCAACAAAGTGTTTTATTGCATGCTCTTGCACTTTGACACTAGGGCTGTCAAAAAAAAAGAAATCGAATTTCGAATATTCGTCGAATTTAAAATAAAAATCCACATTCGAATGCAAAAACGTTGCATTCGAATTTTAGGTGTGCGTCAAGGCCAAAGTATACTTCGGCCGTCCGCGTCCGCGCACCGTCCGCATTATGTCATCAGGAGGGATGGCGGAGAGCCGCGCACCCCGTCCCCGTTCAGGCAGTTTTTTGAGACCGCGCGTACAACAGCGCATGCGTGAGGTGAATGTTAAGACGACAAGACAGTAGGTGGTACTGCGCGTATGTGTCGCGCTCGTCCGTCCACGCTCATCTGCGGTTGAGTATACTTTGAAAGCTGTGCGGACGCGGCTGTGCGCGAGACGGAACGGAACGCAGAAAGTTAAGTATACCCGGGCCTTCAGGCAGCCTTATCAGCGGCGCACGAAATGCGACGAAGATGTAAGTGTCATTGCATTTGAATGCTTTTGTTAGCCTGTCCAATTGAACCCACTAGATGCTGCGCTGCTATGTTGTTAATTCAAAATATTGCAGAAAAAGAACAATCAATGCGGGGAACATGTTTACGTCAAAACCGAAACCAAGCCCTTCACACAGAACGCGTATTTATCGAATTTTCTAGAGGGACATCTATCACCGTTGCACTCGCGTCTAGCAGAAGAGAGCTGCATGTTTAGAAAGCTATGTAAAATTAATGTAAGTTCAACTTTTAAAAAAACATGTCAAGACTTTATGCCGGTTTTCCCCACCCACTGCATCTCAAGTTTTTAAATGAAGTACTCTTTGTGATTGGTTTTCGGTCTTTTGTATTAAACTATACATATTGTTTAAGCAACTTTATTAAAGGGGTCATATGATGCTGCTAAAAAGAACATTATTTTGTGTATTTGGTGTAATGAAATGTGTTTTCATACTGTTGTATTCCCTCAGCGATCAGCACGGATCAATCAGCTCCAGGCATGACAAAGCGGATATCGTCCTCTTTTGGAAGACCAACAAAGAAATAATTTTGAACAAAATGAACAAATTTCATTCTAATGCTCATTATATTAGCGTTAGCCGCGCTTATGCTAACGATTAACTACGTATACGCTAATGGCGA